TTTAACGCCCTACCCGGTTTGGCTCAATGGATAGAGCGTCGGCCTGTGGACCGAAGGGTCCCAGGTTTGATTCCCGCTAAAGGGCACATGATCCTGTTGCCGGCTGGATCCCTAGTAGGGGGTGTGCAGGAGGCAGCCAACAAGTGATTCTCTTTTTCATCATTGACGTTTCTATCTCTTTCTCCCTTCCTCTCTGAAATCAATAAATATATATATTTTTTAAAAAAAGAAAGAAAGAAACTGGTTGTACCCAAACATCCTTGAGGAAGAAATGTCACCAAGTGCTAACAGCAGGTGGGTCCTTTAAGGAGATGTGTACCCTGGTTGCTTGGACTGGGGACTTGAGTAGTAAATTTGTTTAGATTTGTGGCTCATAAGGCCTTTGTTCTTGAAAGTTTTGTTCTGATCTGAGCTCTGCTTTGAGAAGTTCCACTGTAACCTTCAACTATCCACTTTCCCCTGCACTGGGAGATGAAGTGGCTGAGATTGTTTTCATGGGACGTTCTGGGTTTGGTGTACGCCTGCCATTTATCAGCTCTGTGAAATGGGTACTGTTCCTTGTGACTGTTACAGGATTGTTGGGAGGATTCCGGGTAATGCAGGGAATCTCTAGCAAACAGGCAGCACAGTACCTGATAACTGTTAAAAGCTGGTGTCTTGCGTAGGAGAATAGCTTATTCTTTGTTTCTCCAAGGAGCCAACTTAAGAAAATGAAGGGTATTGGGGGCTAGTTTCTAGCTGAGTTCATTTTAAAAGGTCAGAACAGTGTCTTGAAGGGCTGCTGGTGCTGGGTGTTGGAATAGAGAAACCCAGTTCCTGCCGCACAAAGCCCTCTGCTTAGGCCAGGGGGCCTCAAACTTTTTAAACAGGGGACCAGTTCACTGTCCCTCAGACCGTTGGAGGGCCGGACTATAGTTAAAAAAAAACTATGAACAAATTCCTATGTGCACACTGCACATATCTTATTTTGAAGTAAAAAAACAAAACGGAACAAATACAATATTTGTATTTGCATGTGGCCCGCGGGCCGTAGTGAGGACCCCTGGCTTAGGCAGACGGAAGCAGATGGGTCATTGCATCATTCTGAGAGCAGGGCATTTCGAGAAAACATGATAGACGTGCCCAGTACAGAGACTTGTATGGGTAGTGAAGGGGAGAAGTGAGGCTGTGTGTAGGAAGAGGGAGGAAGGAGAAGAATGTTCCAGATGGAGGGAGATTGGAGAGAGTGTGGTGCTTTCTGGGAAACCAGTGTGGTTGGCAGGGTCCAAAGGGTGATGAATAAAAGCGTTGAATACCATGCTGCGGACTTAGAATTGTGCTTTGAAGTGATAGCGACGGGAAGCAGAGTAGTGACACTGACTGCGTTTTTTAGGGAGATCACTCTGGCCTTTGGAGAATGGAGGTTCTGGGGTAAGAACAGAGGCAGAAGTACCAATTAGAAACTTACTGCAATAATAAAGGCTGGAAATGTGGGCCTGCTCTAAATCAGAGGTCTGCCGACTTGTTTGTAAAGGTATCTCGTAGATATTTTCTACTTTGCAGACCACACTGTTTCTGTTACAACTACTAAGCTCAACTCTGCTTTTGTAGCAGGAAAGCAGGGAAGAACCCACTTAGGAATGGTTGTCATGGTGGGCCAGTACCATTATTAACAAAGCAGCGGGAGTCAGATTGTGCCCTTGAGTTGGCCAGCCCTGTGCTAAACCAGTGGTTCTTGGAGCCTTTGGTTCCAGGAGGACACGAGAGCTTTCGTTCTTGTGGGTTATATGTATCGAGATTTGTTATATTTAAATTTAAAACAACAATTTAAAATATTTTCATTATTTCACTTTAAAATAATCTATTACATGTTAACATGGCATTTTAAATGAAAAACAGTTTTAGTGAGGAGAATGGTATTTACTTTTTGCAAACTGTAAGTATATGGCTTAGTCGAAGATAGCTGGATTCTCAGATCTGCTTCTGCAATTAACCTCTTGCAGTGGTCTGACTGAAATACTTGTGCCCGGTGCACAAATTCGTGCACCAGTGGGTCCCTAGGTCTGGCCTGTAGAATTGGGCCAAAACCCACATCCCCCGAGAAGTCCTGGATTGCGAGAGGGTGCAGGCTAGGGACCCCACTGGTGCATGTTCGGGGCTGGAGAGGGATGCGGGAGGTTGGCAGCTGGGGGGTGGGGGGGACTGCAGGAGGACTCCAGGGCATGTCTGGCCTTGGGGCGGGGAGGGGAGTCGGGAGGTTGGCCAGCCGGGGGGGGGGACTGCAGGAGGACTCCAGGGCATGTCTGGCCCATCTTGCTCAGTCCCGATTGGCTGGACCCCAGCAGCAGGCTCACCTACCAGTCGGAGTATCTGTCCCCTGGTGGTCAGTGCACATCATAGCAAGCAGTTGAGCGGCCTTAGCATATCATTAGCATATTACGCTTTGATTGGTTGAATGGACAACCGGACACTTAGCATATTAGGCTTTTATTATATAGGATATGAAGAAAATTTGGCCTCAGCTTACACGTAGTTAGAAAAGGAAGGGGTGACGGAATAGCCTTCTCATATAGTTGCAGCTATTCTTTAATAGTACAATGAAACTGAAGGGGGGATGCTTTCCTCAAGTTTAGTTATGCTTTGAAACCTGAAACTTTTTATTCCATTACATCAAAATCCATAGTTCTGTCTTGTACTTTGAATAAATCTCTTACTCATGCATGTGGTTTGCTAACATCACACCTGGGTCATTGGGAAATATTTGTGCATTGAATTGTTCAGGTTATATAAATGATACATTTCATTATACAAGCTCAAAGAAAATCACACTTGTTAATATCACCACTGACCTCATCGGAAAAATCTTACAGT